CACGATACAAGGTACGTACCACCACATTGCACCTACATGATACAAGGTACAACCACATTGCACCTACACGATGCAAGGTACAACCACATTGCACCTACACGATGCAAGGTACCACCACATTGCACCTACATGATACAAGGTACCACCACATTGCACCTACACGATACAAGGTACCACCACATTGCACCTACATGATACAAGGTACCACCACATTGCACCTACACGATACACGGTACAACCGAATTGCGACATCTCTACACTGAGTTCAAGTAAAAAATATTTAACGTTGTTTTCAAGTTAAGAAAGAGTGTTATGTACATTACCATCATCTCTTGATTATAAGCAGTAAATTTCAACATTTTGCTAAATTGCGTGAAAACGCATGGAAATTAACGAATTCCCATTATTATATGCGACGAAATAACTTTTTAGAACTACTTCATGGAAGAGCTACTTCATGGCTACTTCAAGAGCTACTTAGAGCTACTTCATGGAAACACATCACCGCATAACTGCATTCAGTCTTTATATAAAAAATAGCCATGATAAGAAAAAAATATACGAAAGTATTAGTCTTTCGATAAAATCTCAAAACCTGAATGAAGCAACTTGCGTTAGAAGAGGAAATTGCTACTGACATTTAGGATATTTAGCGTGGAACTTTTCTAAACCCACGTGCGATTCAGTGAACACCAGCGTGATTTGCCCATCTCCATTCTGATCACGAATGCTGCATTAGCAGCGCAGATAAAACTAGGCAACGCATCATAAATCCATCTGAACCTAATGATACCGCAGCTTGCATACTGCAAATCTATCATGGCCATTGCATTAAGAACACCGAAGTACACATGTGCTCTGAAGGGAGTAAAATAATTTATGGTGGGCACAACATAGTTCACTAACATAGTTCAGCTGTATGTCAATAAGTTACATAATCTCAACGCATGAGAACTTCGTTTCGGAAACCGCGAAAATGAATTTCGCCGCAACTTATGTAAACACAGTAAGTTATCACAAATTAAACATTCACTTTCACAACCGAACACTAAACCACCTATATAAACAATCATTTATTAAGGTTTCAGTTATCACTTTTTACAGACGAGTATTGAGGTTTTTTTTATAGGAAAGAAAAATATCAACGGATGACAACTCTCCGCATTTGGGTAAATAGCAACAGTTTGCATTATACTGCTTCTACCCCCTCTGAATACATACATGTTCCCGCCCAGGATACCCGGAGAACACATCTGTGTTTAACCTCCACCCGCGAACGCCATGCTTTCACCACACAAATTTGCCCGGCCTTTATACGGTAATCGCCGACAGACCCATTCATGCGAGAAACGCAGAAAATTCGTTTACAGCGCGGCACGATA